GCATTTTGCCACATTGTCATGTTCGTCTATTGCAGTGTAAGTAACTATATGACTACCAACACCAAAACCATCGTCAGGGTTTGCAGTCTGAACCACATCAACACCACCAGCGTTATCCATAGCAGTTGGTTCTTGCCAAGTTACGTTAGCATATGAAAGACCTTGAGTTGTATTTGTCTCCATATTCGTTGGACAATTCATAAACCAAGGCATTTCTGGATCTTACAGTAAATAACATAATAATACATAAATTATGTTGTAAATTGGTAAAAATAGAAAATAAAACAACATAGGCCTATATTTATTGTCTTATGTAGCAAACCTCAATTGAGACTGACAAGAAATAATTTCATCCAAATTGGCTACTAACCTACCACAGTCACATCAAAGGAACAATTAGCTGTGTTACCATATCGATCGATGGCTGTGTATACAACATTAGTTGTTGATACTGAGAAACTTTCACCAGGTGTATAATTTGTGTGCAGTGTGACGCTGCCAGAATTATCAATTGCAGTAGGTGCGACCCATGTTACGTTTGCGTAAGAAAACATTTGTGTAGTGTTTACAACAGTGTCATTTGGACATCCTACAATTAGCGGCTTTTCCTGGTCTGTAAAATATTTGTTAAGTATTCAATATATACATATAAGAATAAATATAAATTGGCATAAGCAAAACATACAAGAAAATCTTTTTTGGCATTAAAACTTATAACCGATGCAGAAACATGATAAGAAATCGTTACATAATTACCATCATATATAACATAACATGTAACTATATACTATGATAACAATGATTACTTCCAAAAAATCAGAATCATCTCAATACAAATGTTCTTAACACTAAGCATAGACGTAATAATTTCCATAAAAAATACATTTATACCTTAATATTTTAAAAGGAAAAAAAATAAAAACTTACCTTTTACTGACACCATAAAAGAACAATTATTAATGTTGCCAAATACATCTCCTACTATGTATTCTACTTCAGTTATACCAATTGCAAATTCTGTCCCTGTTTGATCATAACTTGTGCCAGTGCCTGATATGTTAACATTATATAAACTTTCAGTATTGTCTGTATATTTAACTGTCCATTCAACAGCAGCGGTTGGATGTCCAACATCAGTAGTTAAGTTGAAATCTCTTGGACAAACAATTTCAGGAGGCTCGTCGTCTAATATAGAAACATATGCTCACATTAGCCAAGTTAAAATAATATCAAATCTGTGCATCAAATATGCATTGTTTTACAGTATCTGTAGTCTTGGAGGCCACCCTTTCGATGATAGATCAGTGATTGAGTGGTATGGCACCACAATCTGAGATTTTTAGATTAATTTGTGTGTATATTTTTTTGTTAATCAGTAAGTCCAGAAAGTAATTTTATTAGTATAACAGTTAAGAACGGGTATTAATGACCATTAGAATGGAAGCAAGACAATTTTATGTAATATTGTCATGATTTAGTAAGATCAGTTATAGCACACGCACACTATTATTTTAGTGTTTGATGATTTATATTTTAGAATTACCCACATACAAAATGACCGAGCAAACGTTACGTTGGGCAAAGCAATGTCCTTGATCAACGTCTTGTTGCCTGAATAAAACATATGTTTACTATTGTGTCGTAAGGAGTTATTCTATTTAAAAATGCCAAACTAAAGTATTTTACGATTAGTCAGAAAATACTAACTCGGCTTTTAATGAGAATTTATATAGTTCGGAATAAATGGCGAATTAACAGAAGTGAGACTGAGTATATACATCTCATATAATGTTAATGGGTCAATACAGAAAACGCTGTATTACTAAATCACAAAAGTAAGAATGGTACTAAAAGCTAATAGTACTGTATTGCTAAAGCTCTACAAGAATACAAAACATAATTTTTCTTTCTGTCTGAATCTACCGATATCGTAAAGTACATATAAATTACCGTAAATTAAAACAAAAAATATACACGATGCTATATTGTCATACTGATCACGTGCAATACAAGTTACGTTTTCTTCTACTGTTGGCCAAACTACATTGAAGTGATCACCAGATTCTCTGGAGCAGTTTAGATTTACCGGGCCTGAGTTATCAGTAGCTGTCACATTCCAACGTATAGTAGAGTAAGGTTTCCCTGGATCTGTAGAAATCATTCTGAAGTCATCTGGACAATTAAGTAATGGTCTAGTGTCGTCTGTTAAAACAAATAAAAAATAATTTTAAAGCAACCGTAAAAAGATCCAGCATTTCCTAATCTGATATGGATATGGTAAAGAAAGATGATCGCATATCTTACCAATTACTGTTACATTAAAGGAGCAAGTTGCCACATTTTTAGATTTATCTGATGAAGTGTAAATAACTGTATGTGTACCAATGTCAAAGATATTGTTGGGTTCAAGGTTAGATTCAAGAGTCGGATTAACACCACTGTTGTCAGATGTTATTGGCAACATCCAAGACACGTTAGCGTTTGCTGAGTCCGGACCAGCATAGGCAGTTAAATTCGGAGAACAAACCAATACAGGAGGCACAAAATCTGTTGGAAATAAATAAGTCATTACTTGATATCTATATATGAGCAGGCACTCATAAATTGTGAATAGGCAATTACTACTAGTCAAAAGGTACAACACTGAAAGGAAAATAATTTTGTACCTAATACAATAACATCAAAAGAACAATTCCCTTCATTCCCAGCAGCATCTGTTGCTGTATAAGTAACTGATGTCCTGCCAATTTCGAATTCAAAGGACTGGTTATAAGTCTGGGTCATGCTGACCACTCCAACATTATCAGTTGCGTCATCCAATGTCCAAGATGCTCTAGAGGTAGAACTGTCTATATCCACTTGTACAGTCACATTATTGATGTCGCAATTAAACACAGGTACTTCATTATCTTGAAAAAAAAAATATTTACACACTTCGTTTTAAATTCCTTTCTGCAGGTTTTTTAGCCTGCAACGCAAATTTGAATATTTAACACTTGACCGTGACCAATCGACCTCAGGCCAAATTAATAAATATGATGTAATTATTGTGGTCAAGTTTGCCTGATTTTAGAAACTAGGTTAATTTTTTTTCTGGCATATTTAATGTTCTCTTTTAATTTAAAGAAAGTTGTCATTTAAATGAAGAAAGTATGAAAATAAGGTTATTTTGCTTCGCTATTTTCTGGATTTGAGGACATACATTTACATTTTGAAATAGGTGTTTACTGGAATCACGCAATTAATTTTATTTTATACAGGTGTTTAAAAAACACAATTACACATAATGGCACAAACACATATAAAGTTATTCCCAATGGCTCCTGTTACTCAAAAGGAGAATGTATTTGCACGGTAAATGTCAAGCTAAGGCCTGGTTTTCTTAAGAATTGCTAAAGATTCTTCTGCAATCAATGGCACTGCGGTAGTAATCGCCGACGTAATCGAGAAAGCTCCTCAATACTACCAACCATCAGCATCAATGAAAACTGTCGCATATAGCGTGTAGCGAGTTTTTGGAAACCAAGTTTCATCACATGCAGCAGGGTTTAGTTCAAGGCATTCTTTGTCGGAATTTTCGTTAGCTATCATATATTTTGTTTTTTATCTGAAGCGATTGCGCAACCCATAAAAGTTTCTTCACGACCCAGCATTGAGTTGCGTCCCATAGGTTGTGGAAGGGATGTTTAAATCAATGTAATTCATCAAAATGTAATAAGACCTACATAAAGTAGAAAATGCTTCAAAAAGGTTATTATCATAATATTTACCTGACACCTTTATAGTAAAAAAGCATTCTGCCACGTTTTCATGTTCATCAATTGCTGTGTAACTGACTAGATGAGTACCAACACCAAAACCATCACCTGGTTCTGCAGTCTGAACCACATCAACATCACCACTGTTGTCCATGGCAATTGGTTCTTGCCAAGTTACATTTACATATGAACGGCCTAGGTCTGTGTTTGCCTCAATATCCAATGGGCAATTTATGAACCATGGCATCTCAGGATCTTCAAAGATATACATAATGACTAAATGAATTATTATCATAGGATTGTATCTGTCAAAAATACAAATTGGTATGTGTTTCTTCAATGAAAAAACTAACTGTTTCGCTTATAGAAGTGGTAGATTGACGTTCTGTTGATTCCTTATCTTCATTTATGCTTTAGGGACCTGGTGTGCTATTTTGTACAACAGCTTTGCACTGGTGCTCCTTGTTACTGTACTAGAATTGCTGTAATCAATAATAATCATCATATATGTGGCTGAGAATATGTTAAATACCGGTTACTATTGTTGCTTTTATGCATATCAATATGGACACATTTCCTTTATGAAACCTGTATTTAGCATAGACATTATCCATGACAGTCAGATATTAAGATAATAAAGGACTGAAAAACATGGAAACAAAAACAAACTCTCAATCCTCTATTCCCCACAAACCTGCCATTGCGGATTATTCTGTAATTAAAACACTTAAACTTACACACTTAAACTTAGAACTAAGGTAAACCAAAGATTATATTACTTACGAAAACTTAAACATTTTAATGTTGGTACTGATACTCTTTTACTTTTCTACCAAAGCATGATACAATCAGTTTTTAGTTTCTGTAGTATCATCTGGTTCATGGGACTGACCAAAAAGACTCTGAGTGTCTCAGTAGGCTAACACGGTCAGCAAGTAAAATAATAGGTACGGAGGTCAATGACTTAAGTTGTTTATGTGAAGGTGCCTTACTTAATAAACTTAAGGACATAGCGAATGACCAAACTCACCCACTTAATAAGTTCATAACAATTAGTAAATCTGGCAGAATAATTCCAACTTTAAAACGTACCAACCGTCATAAATACCCATTTTTACCATGTGCAATAAGAGTCTTTAACGAACACTTCAGTAGATAATCTCATGATCAAGCCTATCTACTGTATTACATTCCATGCCATATTCCTCTCCTGACCTCACAATATAGTTCAACCTTGTTAATTGCGTGTAATATATTTTTATATTCATATTTAATATTATATCTGTTAATTGTTGTCTTGTATTTTATAGTGTTATAGTATTTGATTTCCACTGTTTGTTATCAACTCAAAGAAACAAATCTCGTATATATGTACTATGTATGACGAAAATAAATCTTGAATCTTGAATCAAAAAAAAAATCAAATTCATTTAAAAACAATCAAATTTATTAAAAAAGGTTTTACTCACCTATTACAGTCACTTCGAATGAACAAATAGCTGTGTTATTATATGGATCAGTGGCAGAGTATACGACACTGGTAGTTGATAGTGGGAAACCGTCACCTGATGTATGCATTGAATCTAGTGACACAATACCAGAATTGTCTGTTGCATTAGGTTTAAGCCATGTGACATTGGTGTAGGAAGACATTCGAGTAGTGTTTACAGATATGTCACTTGGACATCCGGTAATGACTGGATTTTCTTTATCTACCATAATAATAAATACAAATTATTATAAACAATAGAACACGTTTAATATTAAAACAAGAGGTAACACCAAGACGAATCTAATGTAAATGACCTAGGTTATATTAATTATATTATACAATAATAGTACCTGTGACAAAAACATCAAATCTGCAGGTTTCATTGTTTCCAAATTTATCAGTAACTACATACTCAAGTGTAGTTATTCCAATTGAGAATTTCTCTCCTGTTTCATTGTAGCTTGTACCAGATCCTGATACTCTGACATCATACATAGTATCTGTGTTGTCTGTGTAAATGACTGTCCAATTAACAAAAGTGGTAGACAGTCCAGGATCAGTTGTCACACTGACGTCAGCTGGACAAAGTATTTCTGGGTTCTCATCATCTAAATAACAAAAATGGAAATCAAAATGTATATTAGAAGAAATGTTTCATTATAAATGAATTTTCAAGTGATATAAAATGAAAATTAATTCAAAATCATTCTACTACAATATATACTTAAAACACAATATTTAAAGCACACTTACCATAAACAGTTATATTAAATAAACACGATTCAGCATTGTTATATGGATCCACTGCCAAACATGTAACAGGTTGTTGTGTTACTGGCCAAATAGCACTGAACTGATCACCAGACTGGTGTGTGCAATTTAGGGTTGTAAATCCTGAGTTATCAGTAACCGATACATTCCAATACACAGTGGAATAATAGAGATTTCTATCAGTTGAAGCCAGGATACTTTCATCTGGGCAGTGCAACACCGGGTACTCGTGATCTAAAAGAAATATAAATAATACTACATTCCATCTGTAAATGTAAAAGTAAATAATATAGGATCTGATGCATATTTTATGAAGGTAACCCAAAAGAATAAATTGCGACAACCTACGATTGAATGTCGGAAACAAAATCGTTTGCCGATCATGTCTGAGACAAAACTAATTAAACTGTGCGTAAACCCTTAACGGTGCTACGCAGTACACTGGTTTTTCGGTAGCACTCTGGTCGGTTTTTAGTTGCCAAAAACGAGATGTTGGTTGCTTTTTGACGACTTGCGGTCTACATTTCTTTATCTAGCTGAACGTCAGCCGACGAAGTGAACGGAAGGATTTACACCTCAACTAGTATCTGCATAACATTCTTTTCATACTGGTATTTAAATAATACAACACTACTGTATCTACATGTTATACATAGTTACCTACCAGTAATATTCACATAGAATGAGCATATGGCTATGTTGCCTGAGGGATCAACTGCTGTGTAATTGATCTCAGTAACTCCAATGACAAATGTATCACCAGATTTGTAGTTACTTGTAAAATTCATAATATAGTGATTGTCCATAGCAATAGGTTCTGTCCAAAAAACTACTGCTGTTGGCTGCCTGTCATCTGTAGTCTGATGAATCTCACTTAAACAGTTGGTTATTACTGGATTTTCCTCATCTATAATATAAACAATTACGTGTAGTTGATATTATTTATGAACATTCAATTGACTGAGGAAATAATGTAAAGATAACAGCATAAATATATTACAAATATTATGAAACACGTGTTAAAAGTAATGTAATATCTCATACATAATTAAATTAAAATCAGAATATTTTTGTATCTTACCTCGTATTGTAATATTAAATACACATTCTGCTTTATTTCCTGATGAATCTACTGCTATATAAATTACCGTTGTTACACCAACAAAAAAACTATCACCAGAGCCATATGTCTGATTAAATGCCACCAGCAAATAGTTATCAATTGCAGTAGGTTCAGGATACCAGGATACGTTAGCATAAATTTTCCCAAGAGCCGTCGAATTTGTAACATTTTGTGGACAGTCGGCTATAACCGGATCCTCCAAATCTAGATACATTATTAATATTGTGTAGTAGACATAATTTAAACAAATCTCATATTCAACGAAAATTAGTAAAACATACTCATTCTAAAAAAATAATTTAAGTGAGTACATATGGATAATTTAGTCATTTAAATCACTGACATACCTAATACAGCAATGAAAAAAGAACATTCTGCCAAATTTTCATTCTCATCAATTGCCGTGTAAGTAACTATATGAGTACCAACATCAAAGCCATCACCAGGATCTGCTGTCTGAACCACATCAACGTATCCAGCGTTATCCATCGCAATTGGTTCTTGCCAAGTTACGTTCGCATATGGCAGACCTGTGTTTGTGTTTGACTCTATATCCATCGTACAGTTTATGAACCAAGGCATCTCAGGATCTTCAATATACAAATGATATGTTTTACTACTTCAAATACAGAAAGCTAGTACAATTATATGTAATAGTAGTCGATGAAATTAAAAGTAACAAAAAAAAGAAGAAAAGAACAAATTGTAGATAAGGTAAAGTAAATGAACTTAAAGAATTTCATCAAAATGTTTCCTCACCTACTACTGTAACATCGAAAGAACAAATAGCTGTGTTATTATATGGATCAGTGGCAGTGTATATGATACTGGTCGTTGATACTGGAAAACCGTCTCCAGATGAATAAATAGAATCTAGTGACACAGTACCAGAATTGTCCGTAGCATTAGGGGAAAACCATGTAACATTTGTGTAGGAAAACATTCGAGTAGTGTTTACAAATATGTCACTTGGACATCCTGTAATGACGGGATCTTCGTTATCTACGATGGTAATAAATAAAATCGTAAACAATAGTAAATATTTGATATTACGATAAAAATAACAATGATTAGAATTTAATGAAAGGTTAATAATAATAATAATAAAAATAATAATATTTATTTGACATTACACTTTTAAATCAGTGGCAGCACACAAGATAGTGGCTCAGTCAAACTTAAACTAATGAACAAAGAGTACAACAACAACTTAAAGCTAAAAAAATGAAAGAACTTAACTAAAGAAAATACAATTTAGATCTTAAATAAATCATAAACATCCCTCACCCTCCCCACACAAATAATGTACATAATACACATTACGTGCACNNNNATAACTTCAGCCCCTGTCTCTTATACACATCTGTTATACTAATTAAGTTCACCAAATAATAGGGTATACTAATTAAGTTCAGCAAATAATATTACCTGTGACAAAAATAACAAATTTGCAACTATCATTGTTTCCAAATACGTCAGTTACAATATACTCAAGTGTAGTTGTTCCAATTGAGAATTTCTCTCCAGTTTCATTGTAGCTTGAACCAGATCCTGTTAATCTGACATCATACATAGTATCTGTGTTGTCTGTGTAAATGAATGTCCAATTAACAAAAGTGGTAAACAGTCCAGGATCAGTTGCTAAATTGACGTCGCTTGGACAAACTATTTCCGGGTTTTCATCATCTGTATAACAAAATGCAAATCAAAAACATAGAAGTGTTTAGTTCTAAATAAATTTGTGATTATTCTACAAAACTGTATATTTAAAACACAATATTTAAGGCACACTCACCATAAACAGTAATATTAAATATACATGATTCAACATTGTTGTATGGATCCACGGCCAAGCATGTAACCGGTTGTTGTGCTACTGGCCAAATAGCATTAAACTGATCACCAGATTTTCTTGTGCAATTTAGGGTTGCAGAGCCTGAGTTATCGGTAACAGATACATTCCAATACACAGTGGAATAATAGAGATTTGTGTCTGTTGAAGCCATAATTTCATCTGGGCAGTGCAACACAGGGTACTCGTAATCTAAAATAAAATTTAAGTAATACTACAATACACTTGTAAATATGAAACTACATAAATTACTGAGTTATGAGTAATTATACATTAAAGTTCTATATGTGAAACTACAAGTTTCTGAGTAATACTACATTACATTTCTAAATGTGAAACTACATATTAATGAGCAATACAACATTAAATTTGTAAAGATGAAACTACATACTAATGAATCTGGTGCATAATTTATTAAGACAACCCAAAATCAAAACTAAACATGAAATACATTGTGACGGGTGACAATTAGATGACAGTCGCACCAGCGTTTGCATAACGAATCCATTTCAACACTGTGTAGGCCCAGACAGTGCGACAGCTTAAGCTGGTCATCGGTGGCAGATTGTAAGGCTGATCGTTATCGAAAACGAGATATCGCATGCTCTTTAACGCAATAAGTTATACGTAGCATCTTCCTACCGCCAGCTGGCGTAGTGTACACAAGGTTTTTAAAAGTAAACTAGTATGTTTGTATGTAACATTACTGTATTTACATGTCATACATAGTTACCTACCAGTAATATTCACATAGAATGTGCATATGGCGATATTGCCTGAGGGATCGATTGCTGTGTAATTGACTTCCGTAACTCCAATAACAAAAGTATCACCAGATCTGTAATTACTGGTAAAGTTCATAATGTATTGGTTGTCCACAGCAATAACTTCAGCCCAAACAACCACTGCAATTGGCTCTCTGTAATCTGTAGTCTGATGAATTTCACTTGGACAGTTGGTTATTATTGGGTTTTCCTCATCTGCAATATCAACAATTATTTGTAACTGACATTACTTTTTCAAACAAATAAGTAATAGAATGTAATTTAATGTAATATAAACAAAAGCAGAATAAATGTATTACTAATAATATGAATGAAATGTTATTGATATAGTATTGTACTATTGTAAAATTTATTCACTTAAATTTTAGTAAATTTACTAAAATATATTCTGATTTTATTTGAATAAATATATAATATATAAATATATATATCACCTTGTATTATTATATCAAATATGCATTTCGCTTCATTTCCTGATGAATCTACTGCTATATAAATTACCGTTGTTACACCAACAAAAAACCTATCACCAGAGTTATATGTCTGATTAAATGCCACCAGCAAATAGTTATCAATTGCAGTAGGTTCAGGATACCAGGTTACATTAGCAAACATTTCCCCAAGAGCCGTTGAATTGGTAATATTCATTGGACAGTCGGCTATAAGCGGATCCTCCAAATCTAGATACAATAACGATATTGTATAGTACATATTAATAAAACAAATCTCATATTCAACGATAATTAGTAAAAAAAATAAAACAAAAATGGTTGGTTTATTTAGTTGTGCACATATAGAATAACTTAATCATTGCAATTATCGACATACCTAATACAGTAATGAAAAAAGAACATTCTGCCAAATTTCCATTCTCATCAATTGCTGTGTAAGTAACCATATGAGTACCAACATCAAAGCCATCACCAGGATCTGCTGTCTGAACCACATCAACGTCTCCAGCGTTATCCATCGCAATTGGTTCTTGCCAAGTTACGTTCGCATACGGTAGACCTGTGTTTGTGTTTGACTCTATATCCATCGGACAATTTATGAACCAAGGCATCTCAGGATCTTCAATAGACAAATAATATGCCCTACTAAATTAAATATTGAAAGCTGGTAGAAATGTAGTAGTCAAAAAATAAACTTATAAAAAAATGGTAAAGATAAAAGCACCTGATGACTTTCATCAAAATGTCCCTCACCTATTACGGTTACATCGAAAGAACAAATAACTGTGTTATTATATGGATCAGTGGCAGTATATACGACAGTGGTCGTTGATACTGGAAAACCGTCTCCAGATGAATAAATGGAATCTAGTGACACAGTCCCAGAATTATCTGTTGTATTAGGTGTAAGCCATGTAACGTTTGCATAGGAAGACATTCGAGTAGTGTTTACAGATATGTCACTTGGACATCCTGTAATGATGGGATCTTCTTTATCTAAAATGGTAATAGATAAATGCAATCGTAACAATAGAAAATATTTTATAATTTAGATCTAGATCTTGATTGGCAATTCATAAAGTCTCCAAAAAGACATCAAGTCAATAGGGTTTGGTTTCATTTTTGTCACTTGATACGATAAAAATAACAATGAGTACAATCTAAATGAAAGAGGTTATACTAAATTAAGTTCAGCAAATAATATTACCTATGACTAAAATAGCAAATCTGCAGGTTTCATTGTTTCCAAATACGTCAGTTACAATATACTCAAGTGTAGTAATTCCAATTGAAAATATCTCTCCAGTTTGATTGTAGCTTGTACCAGATCCTGTTACTCTGACATCATACAAAGTGTCTGTGTTGTCTGTGTAAATGATTGTCCAATTAACAAATGTGGTAGACAGTCCAGGATCAGTTGTTACATTGACGTCAGCTGGACAAACTATTTCCGGGTTTTCATCATCTAAATAACAAAAATCAAAATGGATATTAGAAGAAATTTTTCTACTATATTCATGATTAATCTACTATATTAGATAATTAAAACACAATATTAAAGCATACTCACCATAAACAGTTATATTAAATGTACATGATTCAACATTGTCGTGTGTATCCACTGCCAAACATGTAACCGGTTGTTGTGCTACTGGCCAAATAGCATTAAACTGATCACCAGATTTGCTTGTGCAATTTAGGGTTACAGAGCCTGAGTTATCGGTAACTGATACATTCCAATACACAGTGGAATAATAGAGATTTGTGTCTGTCGAAGCCATAATTTCATCTGGGCAGTGCAACACCGGGTACTCGTGATCTAAAAGAAAATTTAAGTAATACTACAAAACATTTGTAAATATGAAACTACATATTACTGAATAATTATACATTAAAGTTCTATATGTGAAACTACAACTTTCTGAGTAACATTACATTACATTTCTAAATGTGAAACAACATATTACTAAGCAATACAAAAATTAAATTTGTAAAGATTAAACTGCATACTAATGAATCAGGTGCATATTTTATTTAAGACAACCCTAAATCGAAACTAAACATGAAATAGATTGCGATGGGTGACAATTGGATGACGGTCGCACCAGCGTTTGCCCAACGAATCTAATTCAACATAGTGTAGGCCCAGACGGTGTGACAGCTTGTGC